AATCAAATCCGCCCAAAATTCCCTAAAAACCCTATGATGACGCAATGTAATGGTTTTGTTACTAATAAATGATGTAATTTTCACAGCTAAAAGTGATCAATGACGCAATAATATGATTTACAGCACTTCTTATGATGAATACAGGTGATTTTTTCCTTGTAAACTAGCTGAAAACCAATTTTTGAGATTACGAATTTTTTCAGATGTGCTCCAATTTTTGATTACTAGAGTGCATCTTGTAGCCCACGTGTTACTGATCATTTCTGACAACTACATGACCTACTTCTGATGAGTGATGAGTAAGATATTGAGTTGTGAAGTTAAGGTTTTTAGTGTTACATATGACTTGTGACTGTAAATTCGAGATTCACACCAATTCTTTATTTGCCTTATAACTTTTTACACACACCTCCGTTACTAATGATTTAAAGTTTGTACATTATGTAATCCACTCTTCTGCGTTGAATGAGCCATCTACCAACCTATTCTGACGTCATTTGACATATGTAATTAGCTGAAAACCTCCATTTTCCACGAATTTCACCCATTTTCTTCACTTTTCACAGCTACTACTATCTTTTTCTTGCTCATGTAATATGACATCATCATCTATAGCCTTAAAAATCCCGGAAAATCCTCTTGGCAACCTTAAATTCCATCACTACCACTATTACACAACCAAACTACACGTGTACCTCTTGTTTACCAACTTCGAAAAAGTGCTTTTTTCCTAATAACTTCTGTTTCTACTTATCAACCTTGAAGATTAAAATTGTCATAGTATCATATAATGTTGTTCTTTCATATTCTAACCTCATAATACCCATAACTTTATTTTTACTAACCTAAAAACCATTTTCCAACCTTTATACCTATAATTTCGAATTTTTCTTATGTTTTTCTTTCTTTCTTTTTGTAATAAATTTGTAAGTAAACTATAATGATCTTAATATATAATGTGAAATAAAATGATGTAATGTTGACCTAATGACCAATACATAAGCCTACAAGAGCTTCAATTGATCAAAAACCTCCATTTTGAATTTTCTTTCCTGCTGAATCCTGCTAATAAACTGGTAAACTGGTAATTGTGAATTTTTTAATTGATCCCATAAATTGATCACCACAACGTCCCGATTCCATTCAATTTGGTTTGATCCGAGTAATTTGAATTAATCCAATCCGATTGAATGCAACACAATTAGATGGTGAAGCTTGTGATGATGGTGTCAGTTTAGTAGGTATTTACCATGCAGAGCTCAAGGAGCTCTGGCGAACCTTTTCAAGCTGTCCCAGTTTGTCTATCTCTTCCGCTTGTACATCATCTTGTGTCATAAGTGGATTGCTTCGGAGCGGTTCGCTTGGTGTTAGGGTGGCAATGTAGCCTTCTGCCGAGCTACCACACTGTTGATGGTGAACAAATCTAAGAAGTTGAATTCGACATTAACAGAGAAAAGCTTCAAATACAAACGGTTATGATGGTACTAACATGAAGAAGGCACCTCTGTTTCCATTGCTCACTCTTTCCTCCAAAAGGCTCAGAGTATTACCATCAGCCATGATTTCTGTATTCCTGAGTAAGAATGAATCAGTAGAAGGATTTGAACCCGATTCCGTATTAGACATCACAGAGTAGTTGACCACATCAAATACATTCAGAGTTAATTGAGCTGAATGTGGTAAATCTCGATATTTGATTGGTAGTTTCATTGGAGAAGACCATCTAATAAGAAATTTAATTTATTAAGACTTCAACATGTGCAAGCCATCGGATCGGATTAAGTGACCAAATCTCAACTGGGATCGATTAAATGATTAAACTGATGTGTAATAACTTGTGAATGAGTTCTGAGGAGTGTAAAATGGTATTGTTAATGGTCGAGTATCTTCCCAAACTTGTACTGGTATGTATAGATCTGATAGAGGACTCAAACATCAATCAATGAAATAAGTCAATGAAAGAGTTAATTGGTATGTTTAATGAAATATTTAATTGGTATGTTTGATCGAAGATTCAATTGGTATGTTTGATCAAAGATTTCCTTTTGCCTCTGATTGTAGAACTGATTCAATGCGGTGATTTGTTGATTGGTCAAGTTCATTTGATAGACCATCTTTAAATCCACTTGTTCCAATCATCATGAACAAGTTCCATAGGAAACGTGGACCATAAGCTTGTGTAGGATTTGAAAGTCTTGCTTGAAGTCGAACTGAGAGATCATGTTCAGTTGGATGATAGAATGAATCATTTGACATTAATTTCTTTGGTCCACTAACTTATGGATGATCATAGAAACCTTGATCATCTGAGTCATTCTTGTTAAGATTAGAGGCTTGGTAATGATCGAATGCAGCAGAAGTGAGACAGAAGAAATCGACCGCTAGGATTCAATGAATAGGTTCTTGAGTAGGGTCCAAATTAAAGAGCTAAAGCAGATAACTATGCATACCAATGAGTTGAAGTCAGTTCACATGTCATTACATGATCAAGTCTGGAGAAGGGTGAAATTGAGCTCACCACAATGAAGTTGAAGTGGACCAACAAACCACAACATTGTGTAAGCTTGATAGAGCTTGGGTTTCCCGCTTTGTTTTTATCAATGAGCTCAACCAGTACCTCTGGACAATGAAGAGGTGAGGTGATTGTGGTAGGATGATTGGGAGACCGTCTAAAGATGAGGGTGTGTGTTGGTGAAGTGATTAAAACAGTTGGAGGATTAGAGATCAAAAAAGTGTGGGTTTGGTCTGCTTCATTGGGATTTGAAGGAAGTTTTGATGAATTTGTTTGAATTGATTGATAGATAACTACTTGATTGGAGTGGTCTGGCGGCTATACACGGCAAGTGAGAGGATAGTGTGAAGACTGGTAGGCAGTGGATCAAATTGATGAGAGGAATGAGGAGTAAATTCGGGGTGGGGCGCGTGGAAATCAGATTAAATGTGGTGAGCGTGTAAACCTGTAAATTGGTAGTAGGGATTGGGAGTTAAATCAGGTTTTGCCGGCGAACACGGTTTCCCTTTAACTTGAATGATTATTTTCACTTACCTAGAGTTCCATGTTGATACGACAAACTTGAGCCCATTCTGCAGTGGTGATTTTGAGTTGGTGGAAATAGCCATACAGCTTTCTGTTCTTCCTCGGGTGTTGACCAACAGCAAGGACATGGTCCACATCCTCTTTACAGAGTTGATCAATGACCTGTGCAAATAAGAAAACAGACCATAAGTTATGATAACAAAATGAGATAATAAAACTTACATCTCTGGCGAGCCAAGCCTTGTGACGGCTCTTGTACTTGATGTTCCATCTTATTCCATAACCAGCAATAAGTGAGCCTTTGAAGTCTTTATTTGTGCTCACACGCTCAAATTCTCAACGCCAGGGAGCAGAGCAAGTGATGCGCCAAACAATAAAGTCAATCTGTAAATCCGCACACAGTACATATAGGAGCCATGGTCAATGAATTGGGAAAGATAGTGAAGAATGAATGTACCTTTTGTAGGATAAAGTCCACATGATTGGTCTCACACCAATGAGTGGGAGCTACTTCTTCTTCCAAAGCAATTTCTGGTGTGACTTCATCCTCAGCGTCAGCGAGGTCCCAGTCAGCCTTGTCGTCAATTGAAGCAGTTGCATCTATTTCCATTTGAGGATTTTCCTCCACCTCCACATCGTCAATGTTGTGTTCAGGCTCGTCTTCTGCAAATACTTCTACATCATCTTCTCCTTCCTCAGAGATGGTGCCGATGGTAGGAAACAAGCCACGGGCAGCAGATTTTACCTTTGCTGGAGGTGGTGCCTTGATACCGAGCTCGGCAAGACCCGCATTGACAATTAGCGCTAATTTATGACAAAAACAGAACACATGCATCGTGTCTGGTTGCCATTGATACTTGAGACCTGGCCCCGGTGGTAGTAACAAAAATTGTTGGTGCATTTCCGTCGCCATGGTCTTGTTGTTTGATCCCGAATCCGCGGTCTGGCATAACATGTAAAATTATATAAAGGTATTAATGTCAGTATCTCGCACATGAACAAAGATAAATGACTGGGATACTGATCTTTTGATATATTCCATGCTTAACCAATAGGTTCACAATTGGTTTGGTTAACCATGGCCCATGATGGTGCCATACCACTACCTTGAGTGCCACATGTCAAACGTGGAATGTCCATTTTGAATTGATGAAGGTAAGTGAGGCACCAATGAATCCGTGGCAATTTTCCCTGCTAGTCCAGGCGTTGTGCACTAAGTTGAATCGTGAGGTAAGTTGCTGAGTTGATGAGGAATCAACCAAGTGATGTCAGTCACTAACATTAAGCAAAAACGATATGAGTGATATTCGACTGGATCACTTACCTTGAGTTCCTTAAAAACATTGTTTTTTAAAGAAGCGTTGATGCTTTTGGCCTCTTTGGCTGACCATTTCCGACCAAAGAGTTTAGCATCCCTTTTAAGGTATGTGACCATTGCTCGCAAGAGAGGATCCTTGACTCGAGACCAAGGGAGAGCGTGTCGGATTAACCATGTTGAAGCCATCTGGTTGAATGTATTGTTGCAGAACTTGACACCGGGGGCTGTGACCACAAAGCCATCGAGTGTAGCGCCTTTGTTTTGCTCAGCAGCCCGGCGCTCGGCCACTGAGAGTGGTACACCAAGAGAGTTATCTTCTTTTGCTTTGAGTTGACCGGGGCAGCCAATGTCAGAACAGCCGGCCAAAGACGATCCATCGCGATGCTTCCAAAGGTTGCCTGTCATGTTACTATAGCTAACACGGACAGGGTCCTTCTCATCTTTCTTACAGAATCGACAAGCATAAGAAAGTGGTGGCTTTGATCAGTTCTGATGAAGGCCATAATCAGCAACGTAAGTTCAAGGAATAAGACAAAAAGGAAAGTGAAGATATGTAATAAAGGTGAACATGAAAGGAAGAGTTAAATTGGAAACTTACATTGCCAGGTGCATGCACAGGATCATGATAGTAGGCCCTCAGTTGGCCTAGCTCACTGGCTGGATCGTCCTTCTTTGCCCTCTTAGCCGCCCTTTCACCTATGAATTCGACGTCAGAATTGGTGCAAAGCATACCCTTCGTGACATTCGACGACACGTTCTAATGTAGGATGGCAGCATGATGTCAGAAACAGGAAATCGAGTTGGTAAGAGACATTGTCAATGGACTCACTTCATCATCATGAATGGGCGCGTCTGTGACTGCTTTATGCTTCGGTTTAGAGGAAGTCGTCTTCTTTTTCCTCTTAGGTTGAACAACAACACTAGAAGCAGAAGCGTCAGATTTGGTTTCGACTGAATCATGGGCACTGGCTTTTTGTTTCTTGTTGGTTTTCTCAATGAGTTCATTGGGAATGGTGATACGATGGCGAGAGTCTGGGGATTGTGCGACCATCCCAGGTGTTTTGACCTGGGTTCGGGTACGGATAGGTCTTGCGGGGGTTCCACCGTCAGACTTGTCGGCATGGGAAGTGTATGGTTGAACCTGAACGGAGGATGACATATTGATTTGAATACTAGGTTGATTGGAAGCTTCCCTGGCGGAGTAGTTTACAAGAGAAAGATAAGACTCGAAATGGTTGGCTAAAGAGAAATAAAAGGAATTATGGGTAGTAAAACTAATAAAAGGGAGAGATAGTATCTAGAAAAGTTGTTAAGGAGGATGGTGGTCAGTGATTGCTTATCAGAGAATGAGGAGACGGACTATGAGGATGAATTGAAAGTGATAAATCTTGTACCTTCCAGTTTTGCCACAGGAGGATCCCCTCTTTAAGGGGTGCGACACAGTCACCCCTTTGCTGGGTCCCGTCACAATCGATCCAATACATGTCAATGGTGTCTCGTTTGGGAGGCGTCCGTCCAGATTTGGTGAGTGACGAAGAGGAACTAGGGAGATGGGGAGAGGGCTTTGCCACATCTGGATTAGGCTATACCCGACCCGCAACAGGCGCTCCCCTGTGGTTCACGCTCGCACCCGAAGCCACGAAGCCTTGTGGCGCCACGGTAGGGCTCAGGGCCATGGCCGTGGCATAGGCCATGGCCCTGGGCCCTCCGTGGCCTTAGCAGGGCATCAAGTCCAGCTAAGCCCCCTAAGGAGAGGCTTAAGGGTGGGGCAGTGACCAAAATTGAGCTCGGCGATCATCGAACGTTCTCATTTCATGATATATACCATTCACAATATAAAGTTGCTTTCTTTTGATTCTCTGCTCAATAAGTTGATTACAAAGACTCAAGAGATGATAGTAAAGCAAGCCAAATAAAAGATATCAACAATAGAAAAACTTACAATTCACTACACTCAAATAAAAATCAATTATCCATGATTGATCATCACAAAGAAAGGGTAACAAAGTCAGTAAGTGTAAAAGGTAGAATGAGAAATGGAGAGAGCGATGTAAACATAAACAAGAAATGCTAGTGGATGAGTCGCATCTGTTCCATAGACAGAGATTTGGATTGAGGGAGATTGAGAAATCATTAAACGCTCGATAGTGTGTTGTGTTTTCTCAAATCCGCACCCCAGATCATGGCGCCATCGTGGCGCCACTGTAAGGCCCTGGCTAGAAAGGGCCTGACCGTGGCAGGCCACGCCGGGTGCAAGCCATGGCCACGGCCATGCCCTAGGCCATGAAAAAGGTGCCGGGTGTGAGCGTGACCTGTGGTCCTAACCCGCCGCGTCACATGTAACATTGCGGATTTGAAATGTTTACAAGACTCGCTGGGCAGTTGTGGTGCGGTTGGAACCACAACACAACTTTGGGTTCTTGGGAGCGGGGCGCCGGGGAAAAAGGCGCTTCAACGCGCACTGCAGCACGCAACATGAGCGTTGCTGGCCCAGGGTTGACAAACACTAAAAATAATCCATCACACAACATAGAACACCGGGCTAAACCATGTACAAAGAAATTTTGCATAGCTCACATCAGGTTTCATAAACAGCAGTGACCAGCGCGACATCCCGTGCAACAGTGATCAATAACACACAGCTTGAAAACTCCGCAATCAACTCAGAAAACAACAAGAAACAAACACCCAGTACTTTAATCAATCACCACACGTAAAATAAAAGAAACTGAAATAAAACCAACACAAATAACATAGGCCAGACAAAACTTCACAAACACTACACCTTCTACCCATACCACAGCTACCAGAACATCATGTCACTCAACACCACAAAAGCATCATTCCAAGTAAACCAAAAACAACCAAAAGCTTCCTCACTTCATCCATACCAATTAAAATTTTGTACATAATTCACTGACCAAATTCTAGAACCGGATAAAAAAGCAACATATCAGAATAACAAAAACAGTTAGGGTGTGTTCACTTAAGCAATTTCTGGTGAGAAATCACATTCTGCAAATTTTAAAGTGTCCATTTGGTGGTGCATGTTTCATTTTTGCTTTGAAAATTTTACTGAATGTGATTTCTGGTCAGAAATTCCTTAAGTGAACGCGCCCTTAAGCAAACAAAAGAACTTACAAATAACTCAGTGGTACTCATCTCATCTCTGAATAAGCATTTGATACCCAGATTTCCAAAAGCGGACACAAGCTGTGCATCCAATGATACACCACCTCCATCAATTATAAAAATCATGTACTTGAGATTGACAGGAAACTTGTGTGATTTTTGCCTCTTTTTCAACATCATTCTGCGCCAGTAACTGCCATCACCTGAATTAGTAGCAAAGATTTCCAGCGCATCAAACATCACATATTTTAACCCTCCCAAATTGACAAAGGACGTAGTCGATTGAATGCTACACATTACTTTCAACTTAGGAAAATGAGTTTCCAGGATGAAGTACGAAACATGATCAGGAATTGAGTCCACAAAAAGAATTTTGATCAAGTCTTTCAAAGAGACTATCATTGGGCCACACAGAGAGTGAGTGTCAGGTGAGACACATTCCAAGAACTTTACACCCTTCCCAGCCCCTTGGCAGAAATCCGCAAACGTTAAAGATTTGAGCCCCTTACACTGCCAGCATTAAAGAGGTTCCCAGATGGGAATATGGGTCGTAGGAATCAGACAGCCTTTGTGACTACATATATACAATGGCGGTCTGT